TAGTTTTGTTAATGCTGTTGTCCAGTTAGTAAGTCACGGTTCCAGTTTCGTTTTAGTCGACGTGTTGGGTTATCCGGTAATGTTAAAGTGTGCATTCTTTTTATTAAAGGGTTTGAGTTTGTGTTTAGTTTGGTGTAAAATCTGTTGTAGTGTAAAGTAGCAAGTTCGTTGACTGTTTGAATGTTAAGGTCCTTGTGTAAGTTGTTGTTTGTCACATACCAGGGTGCTCCGGTAATTAGTCGTAATGTAATATTTTGAAAGGCTTGTAAAGGTCTTATGTTAGATGGCTTTGCTGGTCCCCATATTTGGATTCCATAAGACCATACTGGTCTGATTATTGTCTTATAGATAAGTATTTTTATTCTGAGGGGTAATTTGGATTTAAGCAGTGGGCGAAATAGATGAAGTCTGGTGTTGGCTTTTTTTCTTTTGTCTTTTAAATGAGGACCCCAAGTCAGTCTTTTATCCAATATTATGCCAAGGTACTTAGTTTCGTTTTTAGTGTTAATTACTGTATTGTTAATTTTTATAGGTGGACATTTTTCGCAACGAAGGGCGAATGTTACGTGGCTTGATTTGGTGGCATTAATTTTAATTCTCCAATTTTTAAACCATGTTTCAATAATATTTACATGCGCTTGTAGGTGTTGAGCTGCTTGATAAATATTACTATGCGTGGAGAGTATGGCTGTGTCATCAGCAAATGTAGCAAGAATAGTGTTATCAGTCTGGGGTATGTCCGCAGTAAATATATTATAGAGATCAGGAGACAGGTCGCTTCCTTGGGGTACGCCTGCATGGATTTTATAGTTAGGAGAACTTGCACAATTTTGTCTCACTGTGAACTTTCTATCTTCGAGGTAAGACTTGATTAACAAATATAAAGACGCTGGAAATATATGTTTTAGTTTGAAAAGTAATCCTTCATGCCACACTCTGTCGAAGGCTTGAGCTACATCAAGGAATAGTCCGGTGCAATATTCACGCTTTTCTAATGCTGAGGCTATTGTGTCAGTCAACCTATGAACTTGATGAATCGTAGAGTGTCTTTCACGAAATCCAAATTGAGTGTTTGGAAGAATGTGGTGCTCGTGTAATATTGGTCTGATCCTTTTTAGCAGCAGTTTTTCAAAAAGTTTGCTTAGTGTTGGTAATAGACTGATTGGTCTGTATGACGTAGTCAAGTTTTTTGGTTTCCCTGGTTTTGGAATCAGAATTATTACTGCTATTTTCCAAATTGATGGAAAATAAGAGAGTCGCATCATACTATTATATATGTATGTAAGTAGCATTAAACCTTTTCTTGGTAAGTTCGTCAACACTTTATTTGTGATGAGATCATGCCCAGGAGCTTTTCCTTTTGGTAGTTTTTTAATAGTTGCTTCAATTTCTCCAGGACTAACTGGCTTAAGAGGAAGAGACATAGGTAAAGGGCAATCAAGAAAGTCATTAACAGTATTAATATGATTTGAATCGGGTACAATGTCCTCATGTGGTTTAAATGTATTAAATAGATGTTCGGCAAAAGTTATAGCTTTTTCTTCGTCTGAGATAGCAAGAGCACCGTTTTCTTTTTGAATTGGAGGAATAGTTTCTTTAGTTTGAGTCAGTCGTTTTGTAGCTTTCCATAGTGATTTATCCCCGACATTGAGTGATTGAATGTAATTTTGATATTGGGCTGATTTGAATTTTTGAAGTTGGTTTTTTAGATTATTAGCTAGTTTGTTATAAAGTTGTTTGAACGAGGGGTAACGAGTATTTTGCCAAATGGATCTTATTCTTCTTTTCTCAGTGATAAGAGCTTTTATATGAGTTGGAAGTTCTACTTCATTTCTACTATTACTCTTACTTAACGAGGATGAACTGTTTGCTGAGATCTTAATTAGTGAGACAAAGTCGCGAGCCGCATTTTCAATGTCTTCGTGGGTTTTAAGTGGAATTTTCAAGTTAATATTTTTGTCCAAATTGATTTTGAATTTATCCCAGTTGATAGGTCCTTTAGTAAGGGATGGTCTTGTATTATAGGAGACATCTCCACCAATAGTTAGTATAACGGGTGAATGGTCACTGGTAATGTCACAAATATTTTCTATGCTTGAACTTAGCTGGCTTGGAAAATTTGTTACAAAGAATTCGAGTATATCAGGGTTTCGGTTTGCGTGGGTAGGCCAATAAGTTGGTCCTGTTGGTGAAATAACTGAATAGTGTTTATTATTGATTACTGTAAGCAAATGTTTTCCTCTTTGATTATTACCAAAACAACCCAACCTTGGATGTTTGGAATTAAAGTCCCCTCCCGCTATAAATGAATGACCTAAAGAATTGAAAAATTGGTGGAAGTCATCTTGACGTAAACTATTGTAATTTGGAGGGCAATATACCGCGGATATGGTGATTGGTATACTATTGATTTTTATAGACACACTTGAAGCTTGTATAGATAATTCTTGGTATGGACTTATTTCTTCGTGTTGTATGTTTTTTGAAATGTAAATGGCAGAACCAGCATGAGCAGTGCCATCAGGGTGATTAGTTTTGTATAGTGAGTAGTTATAAATGTTAAAGTAATTGTTGTCAGTAAAATGAGTTTCACTTATCAGTGCTATGTCAATTTTGTTATGGTTAAGTACAGTTTGGAATTCATTTTTATGCTGATAAAGACCATTAGCATTCCAGAGGAGTATTTTGATGTTAGAATTTTTTGATGTAGACATATTAGACATTTTTTAAAATTATTTTATTAATTACAGTGGTTAATAAGGATATTAGAGGGTTTATTAAGGATTTTAAATCAGTTAGGAAAGAGGAAAGTTGTTTGGTGAGTTCGTTGTTGTTAGTATTGGTTGTTTCTATATATTGTGGTTTGTTTGAATTGTGTTGTTGAGTTACTTTTGCGTAAGAATTGCATGTGTTTGGTTCGTATTCGTTAATGTTATCTAATTGGGTGTTACCATTGGGGACCTGTACATTATATAAATATTTATGATTAAAAGGTTGATTGCTTTTTTGAAGTTTTGAACTGGGTGTTTTCCGTTGTTGTTCATTTTTATACACGGGGCAACCTCTATAGTTCGCGGGATGAGCTCCTCCGCATAGTACACATTTGGGTGGTTGGTCTTTAGTTTTTTGACAAACATTTGTCAAATGTGATCCGTCACATTTAACACAGCGAGGTTCATGATTACAATATTTTTTAGTATGGCCAAAATTTTGGCAACGAAGGCATTGTATTGGATTATTATTAAGTATAAGTTCTTCAAATTTGATTTTTGAGTGATAAATAGTGTCGACTTTGAAAATTTCATTATTATTTGTATCGGGTTCAAGATCAACAAAAAACATAGAAAGTGGTTTTTTGGTGTATCTTTGCAGGGCATTAACGACTTGTTTAACTTTAAAACCGAGTTCAGTTAATTCATCTTGAATAATTTTGGGGTCTGTAGAATAGTGTAAGTTTTTTAGTACAACGCGAAATGGTTTATCTTGTTTGACTTGGTAAGTGTGAAAATCAACATTTTTTTGTAATAGGACTCGTACAATTTTTCGATATGAGTCTGGAGTTTTTATTTGAAGTTTTAAACCAGATGTGTTACTTTTACAAGTAAATTCATCGATATTAATAATTTTTTTAATCGCCTCGCAAAAGTTTACGTAGTTTAAATCAGATTTGATAAATATTGGCGGCGGTTTGGGCGGGGTGGATTGGTTTGCTGGTTCTATTTCCATGTTATCAGAAGTTGTTTGAAGAGGAGTGAACCGGTTTAATACTTTGATATTATTAGTGGAAGTACCGCTGTGTTTTGCTATAGGAGAGGAACCGGGTGTATGTGTGTGCGGTCTTTTATTAGATGATAAAACGGTTATCCAGTCGTCGTCTGACTCGGAAGTAGTGGTTTTTTGTTTTTCTTTTGTATTGCTGAGTATTTGAGAACGATTTACAATTGTTATCGGAGTTATCGGAGCGTTAATAGTTCTAGATGACGGCGTTGTTGGCGGAGTGCGATTACTATTATTCATTTTGAGACGATTAGTAAAATATTAATTTCTTACCTAGATCCCGAAGGATCGTTAGAATGTTGAATTTTTTTTTTTAATCTTGAATTCGTAGATTTAAATATTTTAAACAAAACTAAATTGAGAAAAAACGATAGAGTTAACGCAAAGTTATAGTAGAAAAGTAGCGGGAGTGAAACACGAGACATGTGAACTCCGTGGCAGCTGAAGGCTATATGTTTCAAGCTTATTTTAAAAATTATTTTTAACTTTTAGTTTGATGTGCTCTAAAAGCGTGTTTTTTTAGTTTTTTTTTAAACTATAATTATTTTTCCGTGGATTATAATAACGTTTAACACGCTTTTTACGGGAATGTTTATCTCTAATATTTATTGCAAAAGTTAGAAATATTATCGTATTTTAACTACGATTGTTCCATGGTTAGCCAAGTTAAAAGTGATAACAATTATTAATTTGCGTGATTCTATCATTGTAATCATATTATTGTAGGATATTCTTGGTTAGGAGATTATCAAAATCAAAATTTAACATACTTCAAAATTCTGTATTAACGTTACTACTGAATCAAAATAAGATTTTTGTATCAACATTTTTCTTTAAAACTTATCTATCAAATGGCTATCTTCAAATTTGAAAAAAAATGTAATTAAAAAATATAGTTCTATATTGTAAAAATTGATTAAAAAAAAAATTATAAATGATATGTTGATCATAAGTTATATGAGTTATCAGTTAGATATGTTCTACTCTGTATATAGATACATATATATATATATATATTATATAATAATTTAAACTTGCAAATGAAATATCTTTAACTATAAATTTGAAATTTTTTAAATGATATTTTATACTTTTCAATTGTCATAATTGATTAGATGATCTTACTTTATTTATGTATTTATGAGAATTAGTTCTTGTATAAAATAATATACTACAAAACAGAATATAATAATAATTTAAAAAAAAGCTTGTTTTTTTTTTAGATGACATAACTAATGATGATGTTTGTATAATATGTCATGGTGAAAATATAGAATTAGGGTCATTTAATAACTGTGTACACAAAATATGTATTGAATGTTCAAAAACAATGCGTTTTAATTATGTTTGTGAATGTCCAATATGCCATAATGAAAATACCGAAGTTACTGGTGTTCGTAAGTATTTATTCGTATAAATTAATAAATATGTATGAACAAGGGCCTGATAGAAAGCACATTTTTATAAAATATGAACGATTTCATTAAAGGTGTTAGGTAAAGAACGCATTTATAAGATACCTAGTGGATTAGTTGTCATAAATAGTTGATTATATTATGTCGTGTGATAGCTGATCTCTAGCGTCTTTGTTTTACATACCTCCTTGCCCATCCAGGAAGGAAAGTAGATGGCCTAGATGTGAATTTTTATGTGTCATTCTTTTTTTGTAACAAGCGCCTTCGCTTGGAATGCCAATTTTTCGGGCATTGTACGTCATGTTTAACTTCTATGCGAAGCTGAGAAGTTATTAATCTTACAATGATGCGTTTTTTTTCTTTCAACGATACATCAAGATATCACAAATCGTATCTAGTCGAAGTCCCTCATATTGCCTTCTAAAATTGAAAAAAATTCTTCGTAAATAGTGAAAAAACCACAAAAAATTACAAATTTAAAAATCACTAATTTTCGATTTTTTTTACTTAAAACTGCCATAATTTTTTCAAAAATGACCGAATAAATATAATTATTTTTTATAGATACATGAGGTAATTATCTATCATTTCATATAATTTTTTTATAAATCCAACTGTTGACCTGACCACAAGAGGGGATACAAAATCATAACTTTTTCAACTTTACTTTTGAAAGTGTTCTGGAAATACTGAAACTTTTATAAAAATATATTAAATTAAAGCTTATTTAGTGTACTTTAATATTAAAAAAAAAACCAGCACAGGGGGGTCGCGGCACAGTGGTGACGTGGTATAGATGGGTCAAGTATAATGATATCTGACAGTGATTAAAATCACTATCCAAAAAAAACGTTTCGATGCAAATTTTTAGATACTGTTTAATTTTAAAAAATTGGTGGACTATTCCAAAAGCTACATTATCTGCTAGTTCATTATTAATATCCTAATTAAGATAAAGTATGTAGAATGAAAATGGGATTATTAAAAAATATTATTTCTCATAAAAAAATAACGTTGATCCATACATTTTTCAAAAAGTTATAGCATAATAAAGTTAAAAATGTAAAATACAAAATTGAGAATTTTCACACAAAAAAAGCATTTGGTAGCCATTTTCACAGTGAAGATAAAATCAAGTCCGAAATTTTTTTTTTGCATAATAAAGAATATTACATTAGCTTTAATTTAAGATATATATAAAAGTGTCAGACATTCCGGAACATTTTCAAAAGTTAAGTTGAAAAAGTTGTCATTTTAAATCTCCCCTTGTGGGCAGGTTAAGGGTTAAATTTATGAAAAAAATATACCAAACGAAAGGTAATGATATTACACATCTATATAAAAAAGAATTATATTGATATGTTCATTTTTAAAAAGTTATGGCACTTTTAAGTAAAAAAAATTGAAAAAATTAGCGATTTTTAAATTTGTAATTTTTTTGGAGGTTTCCCCCATTTACGGGTAACGAGGGCATTTTTTTTAATTTTTGAGGGTAATATCTTCGACTAGATACCATTTTTGAACTTTTGACGTATCATTGAAAGAAATTGGTTCGGTGAGAGCTGAGAAAAAGTGGTAACAGAGACAAAAAAAAAAAAAATAAAAATAAACACATCTTAGTAAAACCAATACCTTCTCAGCTTCGCATCGAAGCTAATAAAAATAATTTCGGACTTTATTTTCTTTTCTTGGTGAAAACGGGCATCAAAATTAGTAAAAAAATACGATTATTATAAACAATTTTTTTTCATATAAAATCAACAAATTTTTAGCTTCGATGCGAAGTTGAAGTATTGAAGATTAAATTTACTATGATGTCCTTTTTTTTGTGTCTTTTACTACTTTTCTCATCTCTCACTGAAACGATTTCTTTCAACGATACATCAAAGATCACAAATCGTATCTAGTCGAAGACATTACCCTCAAAAATTGAAAAAAATTCCCTCGTTCCCCGTAAATGGGGGAAACCTACGAAAAAATTACTAATTTAAAAATGGCTAATTTTCGAAATTTTTTCAATTATTTTTACTAAAAACTGCCGTAACTTTTTAAAAATAAACATATCAATATAATTCTTTTTTTTATAGATGCATGATGTCTTTACCTATCATTTGGTATAAATTTTTTTTATATCTGACCCTTTACCTGCCCACAGGGGGGGATTTAAAATGACAACTTTTTCACAAAAAATTTACTTTTTCAACTTAAATTTTGAAAGTGTTCCGGAAAGTCTGACACTTTTATATATATCTTAAATTAAAGCTAATGTAATTTACTTTATTATGCAAAAAAAAAAATTCGGACTGTAGTTTATATTCACGGTGAAAATGGCTACCGAATGCTATTATTGTGTGAAAATTCTCAATTTTATTTTTTACATTTTTAACTATATAATGCTATGACATATTGAAAAGTGTATGAATCAATACAATTTTTTTATGAGAAATATTATTTTTTAATAATCTCTTTTTCATTCGATATACTTTATCTTAATTAGGACATTAATAAGGAACTAGCAGATCATGTGGCTTTTGGAATAATTCACCAATTTTTTAAAATTAAACACTATCTAGAGATTTGCATCGAAGCGTTTTTTTTTGATAGTGATTTTAATCACTGTCAGATATCATTATACTTGATCCAACTATGCCACGTCACCACTGTGCCGCGACCCCCCTGTGCTGGGTTTTTTT